AGCTGGCTTTGAAGAAGCATGCTGCCATACCGTGAGAGGACCATGTGAAAAGGATCTGTGAGTGGTATCTAGGAGCTGAGAGCAGTCCCTAGCCAACAGCCAGCAAGAAAGCAGGGAGCTCAGTCCTATTATCTCAAGGTGATGGATTCTGCCAACAACCTGAATGAGCCTGTAAATGGATCCATCCCCAGTTCAGCTTCCAGATGAGAACTCTGCTCAGGACCCACCTAAACCATGCCTGGACTCATAAACCACAGAAACTCTAAAATAATACGCTGTTTCTTTTAGCTGCTGAATTTGTGACAATTTGTTACACAACACAGAAAACTAATTCAGTACCTTCACTCTGTAAGTATGAAAAATGAGAATTTGGTGTTCTCTTTGGATTCTTCTAGCCCTCTTAATCTACAATATCCAGTCCTTAGTACTCTCCTTTCAATCCCACTGACGTTTCACTAATTTATGTTCTTTGATCCGAGTTATTCTGATAACCTAATTTTTCTATCTTCACTTTCTCTAACAGCTATTCTATTTTTCACCTTACCAGAAGACTCCTATTTTAAAATCAACTGAGTCATGTTGAAATAAGTATAGTAAGTCAGTCACAGAAAGACAAATACTGCCTGACTCCACTTATGTGAGTTCTCTAAAATAAACAAACTTGGGGCACCTGGATGGCTCAGTCGGTTAAGCAGCTGCTTTCAGCTCAGGTCATGATCCCGGGGTCCTGGGATCGAGCCCCGCATCGGGCTCCCTGCTCGGCGGGGAGTCTGCTTCTCCCTCTGACCTTGCCTCTTCTCGTGCTCTCTTCTCAAATAAATTTTTAAAAAATCTTAAAATAAAATAAAATAAATGAACTCATAGAAACAGAGAGTAGAATGGTGGCTGCCAAGGGCTGATTTTGGGGTGGGGAGAGAATGGGAATTGCAAATCAGCAGGCATACAGTTTCGATTATGCAACTTGAGTAAGTGCTAGAGATCTGCTGCACAACACTGTTCCTGTAGTCAACAAAAATGCACTGTACACTTGAAAACTTGTTAAGAGGGTAGATTTCCTGCTAACTATTCTTACCACAATAAAAAAATTTTTTTGAGATCTATAATAAAAGAAAAATAAGAAGGTGTCTCAAACTAGACAACAGCTTTTTCTGCAATGTCAGTTAACAGTTGATATTGCAGGAATGAATTTAAAAGTTTAGATGTACTTTTTTCTAATCTTACTACTAATTATTGAGTTTAATCACTGACAACTGCTGCATGTACATACAGACTGAATCCTATCCAAGAGGCAGCAGGACACGATGGTTAAGTGTACGAGTCCCAGTGTGCTGTGTTTCAGTTTCCCCATCTGTAAACAGTGACAATAATAGTGCCTGCTTTTCTACTTCTTATGATGGTTATGAGACATAAATAAGTTAATATTTATAATTTAAACAAAACAAAACAAACTTACAAGGGTTTCCCTAAAGCCTGGAAAATAAAACCCTAAATTCCTAGCATGGTTCACAAGGCCTTCTGAGTCTCTGTCCCTAAACCTCTCTCCAATCTCTTCTCCTTCTCAAACCCAACCCAAATGAGTCAAGAGTAAACAACAATGTGAATGTCCAAACTTAAAGGTAACAGAGGACTGACTGATCATTTGTGGCAAAAGTTGCAAGGAGTGAGAAGAGTTAAACTTATGTTCTCTTTTGTGCTTCCCTATAAATTAGGGTTATCCTGTACACTGTTGCTGAGTTTATTCTAAAATTACAATGTATAAATCTGAGGAACACGAGAGAAACTTCAGTTTTTAATGGATATAAAAATTAATGGTTAATATTTTCATGGGAAGCTTATTGCAATAATATGGTACCCGGTAATTTAAAACTAGCATGTAATCTCAACAGTATTACCTGTATTTTCCACTCAGTTTAAAGACACTGCATTTAAGAGTAATTTCAATTTTCACTTTTCACGATAACCGACTTAATGTAAAAACGCTTTTCCTATGCTAAATTTTTAGTGGTAAAGTCAAACTCATGCTGATGAAGTATAATTTTTAAAAATGCTATTTACTTTCTGCTTATCCAAACTACCCTTGCTAATGTCTTCAAGGCCTTCCTGACAAGACTAACACATCGCCCATTCTCCATCCTGACCTTCTTAGATTTTCTCACTGATGACCACCAATTGTTCTCTAATGATCTTAGCACCAAAGCCCTGATAACCTCTCAGTCACCTCAGACTCCACGCTGAGCGCAGGAGCCCAACGTGGGATGGATTCCATGACTGTGAGATCATGACCTGAGCCAAAATCTGGAGTCAGATGCTTAACTCACTGCGCCACCCAGGCGCCCCTCTCAGTCACCTTTTATCCAAAGCCCTTGCTGCTCTCACTGAATCTGTCCTACAGGATCTGTCTGCCTAGATGAGCTACAGACACCAAAAGATGATTGCCCTAGACAGACTTACTTTCCCTTCCCCTGTTTTTTTTTTTTTTTCTTTCTATGTTCACATTCCCTACAGAGAACTGGGTCATTTCTTTCTCCAATGGTTCCTTCCACTTTGATAGGTTAGAACCTGTATGATAGCAAAGAATTTCCCATTAGCAAGCCAAGAGAGTCAAAAAAAAGTCTTACTGCTGGCCAACTTGGTAGTAATCATTTTATACTCTCATTTTACAGATGTGGGAAAACACTTCAAACATCAAGTCACTTTCCCAAGGTGACACGGTGAATTTGTGGCAGGGAAGAAAAAAAGTACACAGGCCTTCAGATTCCCAGCTTGCAGCTGAATTACCCCAACGTGCCTCATGGTATTACTGGGTTTCTGCCCTTAAGGACAGCAGACCAAATTTCAGGGGATCTTAGATGTACTTTTATTATACAATGGTCCTAACTCTGCCATTAGGCCAGTGCAATATCAACCGCATATCTTTTTAGCTGTTAAATCCCTTGATCAAATGAAATTTCGCAGAGAAACTCACTACAGATTAAATAAGAGGCATGCTGATTTGGTCACGACATAGCATTATTAGGTCCCCTTTCTTCATCCAGAGGGGGCTCTGGGGGACTCTAAACACCGTGTACAACAGTTTGAAAGCCATTGCCTTAGCAGGCAACACATTTTCTATTACAATTCTATTTTTCTACAGCACATGATGAGAAAGGAACAGTGCTGCCCAGCTGACCTGAAAAAAGGCCAACTTGTTATCCAGTCACTGAGGCAACTAGGGAAGCGTATGCTTCTGACTCTGCGAAATGTTTACTGATAAAAATATTTTCTGCTAACTTCCCTTAAGAAATATAGTTTATTTTTCCAATAAATTTCAGCAGTATAATGATTCTGATGGACACAGAATTTTATAACTGAACACATTTTCCTTTTCACCTTGGTTACTAATAACTGAATAACATCTTATAATAACAAATAGCAACTCTCACTTTCTTATTTTTCTATCCTTACTATCTTACATTTCTCTCCTTATTTTCTCTTTATTCCAGGGTCTTTAGATACCATTCTACTCTCTTATTATCCTGCTATATTGTACATATCCCAAGTAAAGCACCAAAAATAAGTTTTTGAAGCAAGACATTATAAATTAATTAAAATTTTTATAACTTTTTATTACTTCAACAAGCACTTTACAAGACACAATACTGGACAATGATTCTGAAGTTTTTCAAGTGTCAAAATATGTTAGAGATTTAAGGAATTCCAGAACACATGTAATTATTATTCTGTCAGTATTTATATTCAAAAGTAATTAAAAAATGCATTCTTTAAGTTTCATCTTAGAGTTAGTTTGCTCTGAGTAGACAGGTTACAGTTATGTGATTAAGAAAAAAAAAATCACTCTGATATTTTTAGGAGTGGCGGTTGACTAATCTTTCTAATCCCCTACTCCCTCCTCGCCTCTAACCCTTATATAGGTCAACAAAGCTTAATAAAGCATTAATGGAAAAAAGAAATTAATAGTTTTTAAAATCAGTTTCTAAAATAAAGAACACTTACATGAAAATTTGAACAAGAGTTTGTTTTTATGAGATCTTGATATTTTAAGATAACATTCTAGATATTTTTCAATTGTAGCTAACAGGGTAGGCCTCTGTCCCCTCAAATCACAATTTCTGGGACTTACATGCTAGCATGAGGGAGAAGTACTGCAATTAACAAAGAAAAATGATTTTTCATACTGAATGATCAATACTGGAGCTCAAATATCAAAATTACTGAATAGACGCAGTAATTATTGTATTGCATTAGGATTTTTGGACATATCTGAGTGCTTCAAAACTTGTGGTAAAAATATATATAAATAAAATTTACCACTTAACATTTTTCAGGTATACAATTCAGTGGCATGAATAAGCACATTCAAATGTTGTGCAGCCATCGCCACGATCCATTACCAGATCTTTTCATCATCCCAAAAAAGAAATTCTGTACTCATTAAAAAACAAACTCCATATTCTCTCCTTCCCGCCAGCCCATTTGTAACCTCTATTCTATTTTCTGTCCCTATGAATTTTACTATTCTAGCTTCCTCATGCAAGTGGAATGCCTTATTTGTCCTCTAAGTGCTCTGTATAGGAGGAGGACTTTTATATTAGCTTATTTTGCCTTCTTTTTGAAATTGAAGATGTTTTCCTATTTACTTCACTTTGTTAAAAAGTTAACAGAATTCTGTAGAGTATACATGTCTAAGCTTCTGATTTTTTGAATATTATGTAAATGTACACAAGGAAAATAATCTCCTAAATAACAATGTACTCTAACTTTTGGGGGGAGGGTGGTATAAGAAAGAAAAATTTAAAAATTACAGTCCAAGAAAAGAAAAAGCCGCAAAAGGATACCAATTACTACAAGATGTGTAGATACAGGAGAGTACTTAAAAGGCATTAAAAAAAAAATCTGTTGCATTTAATTAAACATAAACATTAACCCAGAAATGGAATGAAGTCACCAATGATTTACCACTACATTGTATGCATTTTAAAAAGAGCCTGAAAAGCCAAATACCTAAACAATGATTTCCAGGTAATAGAATTACAGGTGATTTAAATTTCTTCCTTTTTTTGAGCTCTTCTATTTTTCAATTAGCAATAATCGCGCCTCGAATAAACCTCATTGGCTACGATTGTGCCACTGCGCAAAGCTTGAGCTCTTCTATTTTTAAATTTTGCACAGTGAACAAGCATTACATGTTATTTTTAAGATTCATAAATGATACATTTAAGAACACTTTATTGTATCATTACTTTAAGACAATGGAAAAAGAAGGTAATTACCAGGTTAAATAAGCAGCTTTCTTCCAGCAACATTGAAAACACTTTATTAGCAGCAATAAAATTATTATTAAAGGCAAGAAAAAAGTTTCTTTCTTTCATATAATTGTTTCTACTAACAGTTGCAATCAGATCACACTACAGTATTTAAAATTAATTTATAAAAGCTGTAACACTGAACTGCATATACAACCAAGCAAAAAATACTGTTAGCAATCTTTCAATTTCAATGGAAACGTTGCTGAGAATCAAGACAGCAATCCAGGAAAATGCCAAACTTGTGTTGGCTCTCATGAAACCATGTTCACTGGAAACATCTACAAACACATGCAGGCCACTTATGAAGGACATGGGCATTTTCCTATCAAAGGGAACCCAGGATGTGCTGACTGGGCAAACTATTCTCTAACACATCTACTAGTCCACTCTGTGGAATGTCCCAAGAATTTCAAAGGAAAATAATTAACAAGAGCAAATGTTCTTTCCCAACCTTAACTGTATCTGTGAAAGCCACAAATAATTAAGGCCATCAAAAGAAAGATAAGATTAATCAGTCATCAGGAATAAGATTAATGAGATTAATTAGTAAGATTAATAGAGGGGAACCTGACACAACCAGAGGGATGCATCCTTATAATTAAACACACATTATGAGCTCAGGCAGACAAAATCACAACCTCTCTGATTCTGTTGTTCTTTTTGCGAAATGTCAGGAGTTGAAACTGAACAATGGCTCCTAAATCTGGATATGTTTCAGAGTCACTTGCAGAAGTTCTTAACTATAGAGTCCAAGAGTCCCCTTCATCACACCAATTACAACACTATCTCCAGGGGATCTGCGTTCAAGGGAACTGTCTGGCATCTGCATTTCAAACCAAACCAAATCCTCAGGTGACTGAAGTATTAAATTCATACAACCACTTTCTATCAAAAAATGAAGTGAGGCATCTCCTGTTTGGCAAACACAGCTGTGGGAACTAAATAAACAACAGAGATATTCATAGGCAACATTTCTGATGCCAATAGAATTCATAACAGCCTACTCATTTAGTAAAATATCACTTATCATGTGGTTTTTAGTGCTGGTATTTACTACCAACTAGAAAACATGCACTGATTCAAGATGTTCTCTTTCTGTCCAAGAAGGATATTTACATACATATATAAATATATATATATTAATTATATAAATATATATTAGGATATATACATACACATATAAGTATATGTAAACATATATTTAATAGAGTACAAATACTCCACAGTAGGTGCTCAATCAATATTTGCTGAATTAAACTAGACAAGGCAAACAAATCATAATCATTCGCACAATCAAAAGCAAATATTTAAAATAAGTTAAGTATTTGAATGCCTATTACTCTCCAATTCTCTCTCAAAATAAACACACTATTATCATTTTGAGTACACCGCATTCCTGAAGTGAGGGGCCATAACAGAGTTTACTTGGGTAACATGGCAAGAAAATTATTAACCAAGGGCCACTTAATGTAAATACCCCTTTCTACCAACATTTAATTCACATAAGTAGAAGTAAATTATGCTGAGAGAAGCCAATTGTTTTGCTTTTTTCAAACCAGACTTAATTCATTGCTTTTCTAAAACTTAATTAGTGAGTCTAAAAAGCTCAATGAGGTTTAAGTTTGCATTTATCAGGATAATAAACAACAGATCTTATATTCCAGTGATGCATTCAAACATGTTAATGATCCTTGGAAATATGTGTCTAGAAATATTTCACTGATAAATACGTATATCACAATATACTGATATAAATATACTAATTAGAGCCACATGTAAATGTTTGCCAAAATTCTACTTTTAAAAATAATGTTCTTATTCAGGAAAAGGCTTATACAAGGTTACAATATTCAGTAAAAAATATTCCTAAAGCCTGCTATTCACAGCTTTTCACACATTTATTTGTCCTCTTACAGAATAGCACACAGCACACATAGGCACTCAATGAGTATTTACGGAATGCATGAATTTAAAACCCAGTGTCATAAATGTCCAGTCAATAATACAAAAATAACCAATTTAAAGATAAAAGTTTGGAGCCAAATTTTATGCATATATCTCACTCTGCTAGATTTTCAGTATTTCTTCCATTGAGTACAAAAAGGATTTGCAATGATTTAGAATAACAACATATCTATAATTTCATGAATATGAAACTAAGATCATAAGCCATACAGTAGATCTTCATATTTAAGACAGCACATTTTACATGAGCTTTGAAAATGCTAATTTTGGATCTCATCTTAGAGATTCCAATTTAATAGGTCTCTGATACATGGCTTAGAAAGTTTTAAACATTTGAAACAAGCATCTCAATGATTCTGATGCAGCTATTATAAGAACCATATAAGAGAAATACTCCCATGCATGAGAAGGGGAAAACTACACCAAATTTGTTTCTGCACCTGAGCCTTGAATTTAGCTCTTGCTTTCCTGGCAGCCAAGACAAAAAGGAATTAAAGAAGAAATAACCATTGGCTGATGAGAGGAGGCCTGGCAGTTTGTCAGAGAAGGCCAATAAATTGCTTCAAATGTTTGTGTAAACAGGCACAGCATGCACTCGGAGGGAAAACAATTCCCTAGCATTAACAAAAAATGACTTATCAGGTGGCACTTCATGTAAAAGACAGTAAATAATAAAAATGAAAATTAACTTATGAGCAATTTTGAAGACCATATAAAACATCATCAAATGGGTATGTCTAATTTTCTTTATTTTATTTTATGTATTTATTTTTGAGACAGAGAGCGAGCATGTGCGCACAGGTGAATGCCTGTCTGCACGCCTGCGCTAGTCAGGGAGGGGGGCAGAGGGAGACAGAGAGAGAGAAGATCCTAAGCAGGCTCCATACCCAGCGCAGAGCAGGATGCAGGGCTCAATCTCACGACCGTGAGATCATGACCTGAGCCAAAATCAAGAGTCAGACGCTTAGCTGACTGAGCCACCCGGACACCCCTAATTTAATTTTAAAGCACAAGTACAAACTTTTACATACTGCTGGCAGCCTCTCTGAAGAACAAGAAAGATGCACACTCCTTACACTCCACAGTCCCACTCCTAGATAACAGCCTGGATTCAGAAAATTCATTCATGTGCACCGGAAGATGTGTGTAAGACAAGTACCAGTACTGTTTGCATTTGCCACAAATCTGAATCATGGAAAATGAATAAACTGTGGTAGGTGCATACACAATGGAATATCCACAATTATAGCAAAATGAGTAAACTAGAATTATATGTATCCATATGGATGAATTTCATAAATACAATATTGAGGGGGCAAAAAGCCACTTGCAGAAGAATACATAGTGTGATGTGATACATATAAAGTGTAAAAGCATACCCAATAACTCTACGTTGTCTCAAAAATATACCTATGAGATAAAAATACAGAGAAATACATAGGATGAAAACTATAGTCAAGAAGGGCAGCTCCTCTAGATGGTGTGGAAGGTAAATGAATTAGGGAGAATTATGGGTTCAGTGGTATTGGCAATGTTTTATTTCTTTAGTAGGGTGGCAGTTACCTGGGGGATTGTTATAGGTCTGAGTTATTTCACAATAAATAAATGAATAATATGAAGGCATAATATCAAACCATATTCTAGTAAGGATCTAGGATATAAATGAATGTGGTCCATGCAGACTCCTTTCCAATTGTAACAGGAAGAGAGGGTGAGGACAGAAGAAAAGACAGGGAACAGGGTCCTTATACTAAAGCAGTGCATTCCAGATACAGCCCTCTAAGGTTAGAGACCAAGGAATCTCTGCACAGCAGATACCTTGCAGCCATTAAAACATGTGAGATTAATCAGCATGAACTGATAGAGAAATATGTCCCCCACATATTAGGAAATAAAAGCAAGCTGCATAGCAGTAATGCTTAGTATAATATCGTTTATATAAGAGAAGGTTTACATATACTTGTACATCTGTGGAAAGTTATACAAAGAACCATTAATAGTTGTTGACCTGGGCAGAAGGCAAAAGTTCCACTTTATGCCCTTTATACTGTCAAGCTGTTTTCATAATAAGTATCTATAATTTTTAAATTAACTTTTATAATTAAACAACTGAGCTCTCCAGCAAGGGCTTGGGGAAATGCTTCTCAACCTCAGCTGCACTTCAAAACCATCTGGACCCTTACATAACTCAACTTCCAGACCCCAGTCCAACTTAGAAGCTCTGAGGGTATTGTCCAAGTATCACTATTTTTTAAAAGCTCCATTACAAAAAAAAAAAAAATCCAATGGGGGTGCCTGGGTGGCTCAGTGGGTTACATGTCAGACTCTTGATTTCAGCTCAGGTCATGATCTCAGGGTTGTGAGATTAAGCCCCATCTGTCTTGGGCTCTGTGCTGGGCGCAGAGCCTGCTTTAAGATTCTCTATCCCCCTCTTTCTCTGCCCCTCCCCTCCTCATGTGCACATGTGCACTCTTTCTCTCAAAAAAAAAAGTCTAGTGTACATTAAGGGTTAAAACTCATTGTTTTAGATGTTACATGTGCAAATGACAATGTGAGTTATGAAAATTAAAGACACTAATCTTGTATACTGATCCAGACAAGAAAACCATCAATGCCTAAAGGAGGAAGAAAGAAGGTTATATATAGGCTGGGTTAAAGACTTTTTGGAAAAGTAAGCTCTGATACACTGAAGCACCTGGGATGGTTTATACTCAGAACTGCAAATTCCATTCTACTGAGTAGGGAAGAGAAATTTGCCCTGGAAAAAAATGTTCCCAGACAATGACCATATAAGCATTTCACTGGACTCCTATAAAACCTCTCATTTTGACTGATACTGCCCTTAATTTGAGGTTGTATCTTTGTTAC